AAGAGTGCTATATTCGGCTATGCTGAATCTAATATACCCACCATCAAACTGTATGTCTTAAAAGGAATGCTATCCTATAAAAATCAGGGTGATATTACTCATCAAATTTACTGATAGGACCTTTCATGAGAGGTATTGACCGTTTTTATAAAATTTTTCATAATATTTTAAGACCGATTTTGGTTCATATAAAACATGTTTACATCGAATATCAGGTCCAAACACTTGTCGGTAGGAAGATTTACGTTCCTATAAAAGTTTCTTAGCTTTTGGCTCGCAAGAAACTTTCTTATATAAAATTTAATTTATACACTCGTACTTGTAAACCAGTAATGAACGTTAAAGTGGAGGGGACCTTATATGGGGGTAGGGTCAATTATGGACCGATCCACATAAAATGTTTACATATGTCAAATTTCATTGCTATACTCGTATTTTTAAGAGAGTAATGAGCGTTAAAGTAATTTTTTGGGGGTGTCTTATGTGGGGAGTAGGGTCAATTATGGACCGATCCGTATAAAATTTGGTAGAGAGATCGCATGGACCTTATTTGTGTCGAATTTCATCGCCATATTCTTATTTTTAAGCCAGTTATGAGTGTTATAGTGATTTTCCGAAGGGAACCTTATATGGGGGGTAGGGTCAATTATGGACCGTTCCGTATAAAATTTAGCGGGGAGATTTTTGATCATATGAAACTTATATATGTCGACTTTCATCGCTATACTTGTACTTTTAAAACAGATATGCCCGTTAAAGCTGTTTTTCGGGGTCCACTTGTAAAGGGGCTATCCGAAAACGTGGACCGATATGGTTCGTTTTCAATATCAAACAAACCTTACCTATAGAAAATATTTCAGTAAAATTTCAACCCTCTAGCTCATTCCGTTCGGACTCTATTGTGTTTTCAATAGACAGACGGACGGACTTGGCTAGATCGTCTTCAAATTTAATAAGGATCCAGAATATACTTTTTGTGGGTCTATGACCAATATTTCGATGTGTTACAAACGGCATGACAAAATCAATATACCCCCCATCTTTTTTGATGGTGGGTATAAAAAACTAACAAAATCAGTCAGATAACTTTTTAGTTACTCTGTGCTTTTCGCTGCTCTGAGAGATATAATATTGGGTATATTTGAAACTAATTTCTACCAAAGCCTATTTATGGAATAGTAAGTATTCCAGAGCTTCAATGTCTTCTACAATAAGTACATAAAAAACTAACAAAATCAGTCAGAAAACTTTTTAGTTACACTGTGTTTTTCGCTCAGATCGGGTATATTTAGAACTAATTTCTACCAAAGCCTATTTATGGAATAGTAAGTATTCCAGAGCTTCAATATCTTCTCTCTACATTAGAGTTCATTCGCGAAAATATAAACTTATTCATTCTGAGGGGATTCCGAATATAGAAATCTAGTTTGTTATACCCTTCACCACCATTAGTGGTACAATGTATATATATATATATATATATATATATATATATATATAAAAAGTTATGAGCAAAATCTTCAAACTATCTCGAAAAAATTACGTTCTTTTTTTCAACTTCTTAAGTAGTTTTCTCAGAAACTAATGAGGATATTTCAATGAATTTTACCACAGGAATCAATCAGTTTCAAAATCATCGATCGATCCATAATTTCCTGTATAGAGTATATATTTCCGGAAATGAATTTATCGTGAATAACGCTCGTGGATAGCACTTTAACTAAACAATAGTAGCGCCAAATATGGTTAAAGAAATTACTAAATGATTACGGAAACATAACTTAGATACATAGTTAAATGGGTTTTAGTATAACAATAGCTTGCTGATGTAGGGTGTTAAATATTCGTCACTGCCGAATATAGTACTCTAACTAGTTTTTAATTGATTTTTAAAATTTGATTTTCTAATTTATTTAAACATCAAATAACTTTTGTTTTCAATGGGAATTGTTAATGACTTGTTAATAATTATTTATGTTATTTATTAAATTTTAAAGCTGAATCATTAAATTATAAAGCATTTCATAATATACCCAGCAAAAACTTACAAAAATTTCCAACTAATAACTATTTTAAGACGATCTCTTACAAATAAATGCTTAAATAAGTACTTACAAATAAGTATATAAAAGGTTGTTTTGCTTTAAGCACAGAAAGAAACTTGACGAGAACAGAATTTTAAAGCATCATCAAATAAAACGGCAAAACTCAAAATAAGTACTTACGTATATGATTATATGTAAGTCATCAGTAAGTTTCTGTGTAAGTACTGCTCATTACCAAGTTTACTTAAAATTGTTTATTTCATTCACAAAAATTAGTTATAAAATTATTAGGTAAAGCTTTCACTCTTTTACATTAAAATAAGTCGAAACTGCTCCCTTTAAATCCTTATGTATACCAGCCTGAAATTTGACCAAATAATCCCCCGTGGGTAATGGTACAGGTAGTAACATTTGTGAATTAAGCGATAAATTACTAACGATTAAATCATGCTTGAGATAAGAAAATATAAAAAATTAATCAAATTTATTAAAAAAAAACAATCACTTACATTGTAAGGACACGAATGATTAACATTTGAATTATCCCTTATAATGTAATACAACAATTTCCAGTGTATATAACGATTTGGATTCTTCACAAATCTACAGAAATTTAATGTTGTATTATACATATATGGACTATATCTTTGTGAAGAGGTTTTTATATAGAAACCAGCATTAACCTAAAAATATTATTTCAATCACAAAAATTTTGCCGCAATTTAAGGTATTATATCAACTTACCATTACATTATCAACTGGTGTTTTTAACAAGCGTACATGTAGATTTAAACCAATATTATTACGATTCCAAACCTTTAAATAGCAACTTTTGAAAGCAATAAATGTTTTATCAAATTCATTGCACTCAATTTTTGTGAATTTTATAGTTACTGCTGTAATGAAAGTTATATTTTTAAAGCATAATATTAGAAATATTATTTTCACTATTAACGTTCTAAATACTTTCATGTCGAATTTGTTTATGATTGAAATTTTATTTTTCAATTAAAAGTTATTCGTTATTAAAACGTTTACAGTTTATGCACAAACTAATTTACTGGCATTGTTTTCGTATTGCGATTATACCAAAAACTTGTTTATATACCCACCATCATCATCATCAGTGGTGAAACGAACGAACAACGAAACGAAACGAACGAACGAACGAACGAACGAACGAACGAACGAACGAAACGAAGAACGAACGAACGAACGAACGAACAACGAACGAACGAACGAACGAACGAACGAACGAACGAACGACGAAGAAACGAACGAACGAACGAACGAACGAACGAACGAACGAACGAACGAAACGAACGAAAACGAACGAACGAAACGAACGAAGAACGAACGAACGAACGAACGAACAACGAACGAAGAACGAACGAACGAACAAAGAACGAACGAACGAACGAACGAACGAACGAACGAACGAACGAAGAACAACGAACGAACGAACGAACGAACGAACGAAACGAACGAACGAACGAACGAACGAACGAACGAACGAACGAACGAACGAACGAACGAACGAACGAAACGAACGAACGACGAACGAACGAACGAACGAACGAACGAACGAACGAACGAACGAACGAACGAACGAACGAAACGAACGAACGAACGAACGAACGAACGAACGAACGAAGAACGAAACTGAGAACGAACGAAGAACGAACGAAAACGAACGAACGAACGAACGAACGAACGAACGAACGAACGAACGAACGAAGAACGAACGAACGAACGAACGAACGAACGAACGAACGAACGAACGAACGAACGAACGAACGAACGAACGAACGAACGAAACGAACAACGAACGAAACGAAACGAACGAACAAACAACTAACTAACAAAAACGAACGAAAAAAACGAAAGAACGAACGAAGAAAACTAACGAACTAACGAACTAACGAACTAAAACGAACGAACTAACAAGAACTAACTAACGAACTAAAACTAACGAACGAACTAACTAACAACTAACTAACAACTAACAACGAACTAACTACTAACTAACTAACTAACGAACTAACTAACTAACTAACGAACTAACTAACGAACTAATAACTAACTAACGAACTAACTAACTAACTAACAACTAACTAACTAACTAACTAACTAACTAACTAACTAACTAACTAACTAACTAACTAACTAACTAACTAACTAACTAACTAACTAACTAACTAACTAGCTAACTAACTAACTAACTAAGAGGGATTTACGCCTACATCAGTTAGAGGTAGAGGGATTTACGCCTACATCAGTTATGTATTCATAATATCATCATGATATTACTGTCTATAAGTGAATATTGACGATCAAGTCATTTTCTGAAGGGGACATAGGGTCAAATGATCATTACGAAATCTGTTAGTTTTGTCGATTTTTAGCTTGGTATAAGAACATTTAACGTATATATGAGTTCAAAAGCCCTATTCGGTGGGTACGGTTCTATGGGGGCTATTCGAAATAATGGGCTGATTTTAACCGCTTTCAATTGACTTCGTCAAAGGAAAAGTATGTGGCAAATTTCACCTGGTTATGTTGAAAATTTCTATCTGTAGAGTGCGCATGCATGTCTGATAGAATTATTGAAGATTTGGGTCCCGAAAATATCTGTGGTGATCAGTAAATTGATTTAAACAGACACACTGACAGATGGACAGACAGACAGACAGACAGACAGACAGACAGACAGAATAAAGAAATCAATTAAATTGGTTTTTTCCTAAGCACACTACTTCGTATTAACGCACCACAAAATTGTTTGTCCGAAATTGTACGAAATATATAAGTGTGTCAAACTCTTTATAACTCTTCCCGATGTAAACCAATTTTGCTTATTTTCAATACCAAACTGCCTGCGACAATGGTCAATATTTTAGTTGAATTTCGCCAAAACAAACCAATATTAAAGAGGGAATATTAGTAAAAGTTAGTTTATTCTTTTATACTGAAATATGCTCGAACTTCGGCTTTATAATCATTGTAGGCAGCAACTTTTAAAATCACCAAATAATCCCCAGATGGAAAGGGAATAAATTTAAACATGCTGCTGTCTAAAATTAGACGTTGTACTATTATATCATGCTTTAAATATACATATAGAAATATAATGCATTAAAAATAATTGTTCTGTTAACATAAACTATTTGAAACTTACACTATAGGGACATGTGTGATTAATATTTGAAGAAGGTTTTATAATGAAATATACTATTTTCCAGAAAGGATAACGATTGGGATTTTTTAAAAATTTACAAAAATCCAAAGTAGTATTATAAAGAAATGGACGATAGTTCTGGGTGGAACCTTTAATCAAAAATGCAGCATTAACCTAAAACAAATATATAGTTTAAACAAAACACAAATACATATATTAACTAAAAAAAAACACTTACCGAAACATTAGGCACTGGCACCTGATGCAGCCGTACATGCAGATTGAGACCAACCTTATCGCGTGCTAATACCTTCAAATAACATTTTGGTATATCGGCAAAAGGTTTGTCAAATTCAAAACAATAAAATTTTGTAAATTTCACTGTTAGTGAGTGCGTCATTTGCAGAAAAATTAATTTTAAAAGTAATATTGTAAAAATAAATTTTATTGTAAATGTCTTTAATTTTAACATAATGTGTAAACGTTTTCACTGCTAACAATATTTCTATAAATGAAATAAATTATTATTTTATTTAAACTTTTGCCAACAAATATTAACATTATTATTAAATGTTTCTTTTTTTCGTATTTTAATGAGTTAATTGTATTAAAAATTTTAACTGAAATACATTAGTTAATGGCAGTTTGATTAAGATTATCTCTACAAGATTTTCTAAATATAAATTGGTCTGGTTATAGTTAACAAATACATAATATTAATAATTTGTAAACATTGTACAGTGGTTTAGAAACTTTTATTTTCGGAAATAATTCAGTATCTCAGGAACTATTAGCGAAAAAGTTAAAATTTTAAAAAGTTAGACGCATCCAAAGTTGCGTCTTGTAAAACGGGTCGTGTGTTTTAGTTTTTTTTTCCAAAAAAGTCCTTAGTTCTGGACTATATACAGAAGCGTGTAAAATAAAACTTGGTTGATTTAAGCGTACCCTCCCTTGAAATTGAAAATTCTATTTGGTAAATCTAATTTTACTCAATCGGCCAATGTGTGCCTAGTTGAATATCCGAGTGAAGTGAAGGAGAGTTCGATGGTGGTCTAGATGTAGATGGTTTCTTCTTCTAAGTAGTTAGTTAGTTAGTTAGTTAGTTAGTTAGTTAGGTAGGTAGGTAGTTAGTTAGTTAGTTAGTTAGTTAGTTAGTTAGTTAGTTAGTTAGTTAGTTAGTTAGTTAGTTAGTTAGTAGTTAGTTAGTTAGTTAGTTAGTTAGTTAGTTAGTTAGTTAGTTAGTTAGTTAGTTAGTTAGTTAGTTAGTTAGTTAGTTAGTTAGTTAGTTAGTTAGTTAGTTAGTTAGTTAGTTAGTTAGTTAGTTAGTTAGTTAGTTAGTTGTTAGTTAAGTTAGTTAGTTAGTTAGTTAGTTAGTTAGTTAGTTAGTTAGTTAGTTAGTTAGTTAGTTAGTTAGTTAGTTAGTTAGTTAGTTAGTTAGTTAGTTAGTTAGTAGTTAGTTAGTTAGTTAGTTAGTTAGTTAGTTAGTTAGTTAGTTAGTTAGTTAGTTAGTTAGTTAGTTAGTTAGTTAGTTAGTTAGTTAGTAGTTAGTTAGTTAGTTAGTTAGTTAGTTAGTTAGTAGTTAGTTAGTTAGTTAGTTAGTTAGTTAGTTAGTTAGTTAGTAGTTAGTTAGTTAGTTAGTTAGTTAGTTAGTTAGTTAGTTAGTTAGTTAGTTAGTTAGTTAGTTAGTTAGTTAGTTAGTTAGTTAGTTAGTTAGTTAGTTAGTTAGTTAGTTAGTTAGTTAGTTAGTTAGTTAGTTAGTTAGTTAGTTAGTTAGTTAGTTAGTTAGTAGTTAGTTAGTTAGTTAGTTAGTTAGTTAGTTAGTAGTTAGTTAGTTAGTTAGTTAGTTAGTTAGTTAGTTAGTTAGTTAGTTAGTTAGTTAGTTAGTTAGTTAGTTAGTTAGTTAGTTAGTTAGTTAGTTAGTTAGTTAGTTAGTTAGTTAGTTAGTTAGTTAGTTAGTTAGTTAGTTAGTTAGTTAGTTAGTTAGTTAGTTAGTTAGTTAGTTAGTTAGTTAGTTAGTTAGTTAGTTAGTTAGTAGTTAGTTAGTTAGTTAGTTAGTTAGTTAGTTAGTTAGTTAGTTAGTAGTTAGTTAGTTAGTTAGTTAGTTAGTTAGTTAGTTAGTTAGTTAGTTAGTAGTTAGTTAGTTAGTTAGTTAGTTAGTAGTTAGTTAGTTAGTTAGTTAGTTAGTTAGTTAGTTAGTTAGTTAGTTAGTTAGTTAGTTAGTTAGTTAGTTAGTTAGTTAGTTAGTTAGTTAGTTAGTTAGTTAGTTAGTTAGTTAGTTAGTTAGTTAGTAGTTAGTTAGTTAGTTAGTTAGTAGTTAGTTAGTTAGTTAGTTAGTTAGTTAGTTAGTTAGTTAGTTAGTTAGTTAGTTAGTTAGTTAGTTAGTTAGTTAGTTAGTTAGTTAGTTAGTTAGTTAGTTAGTTAGTTAGTTAGTTAGTTAGTTAGTTAGTTAGTTAGTTAGTTAGTTAGTTAGTTAGTTAGTAGTAGTTAGTAGTTAGTTAGTAGTTAGTTAGTTAGTTAGTTAGTTAGTTAGTTAGTTAGTTAGTTAGTTAGTTAGTTAGTTAGTTAGTTAGTTGTTAGTTAGTTAGTTAGTTAGTTAGTTAGTAGTTAGTTAGTTAGTTAGTTAGTTAGTTAGTTAGTTAGTTAGTTAGTTAGTTAGTTAGTTAGTTAGTTAGTTAGTTAGTTAGTTAGTTAGTTAGTTAGTTAGTTAGTTAGTTAGTTAGTTAGTTAGTTAGTTAGTTAGTTAGTTAGTTAGTTAGTTAGTTAGTTAGTTAGTTAGTTAGTTAGTTAGTTAGTTAGTTAGTTAGTTAGTTAGTTAGTTAGTTAGTTAGTTAGTTAGATCTAGAAGTTTGAAATTTGTTTCCGACATACTATCCAATCGATTTTAAAAGTTGGCTCATTGGACACGAAATGGTCTTCATTTAATTCAAATTTCTACGCTGTACAAGTGTTTCTCTAAATTAGACGTATACTTAATATTTGTGGTATCAATAAATCACGTATACGTACAGGAGTCGTTAATTAAAGCTTTTCAATTTCACGAAGTAAAACATTCCACTTGAAATTAGGAAATGAAGTTGTAGTTTTTTATTTGATATGTTTACAATTTTTCTTCTTTATGACAAGAACTACAACTTTACCTCAGAGAGTAAATCAAAATTCAAGTATCTATAGCGAATTTGATTGGGATTAAAATCAAAGTTTATTTACTAAAGTTTTTTTATTAAAAGTAATTGTAGATTTAAATATTCGAGGAAAATTTTTCGTCATTAATATCCGGTCATCCATGTAAATTTCGTAAACAAAATACAAATCTCAATTTTTAGATAACAACTATTAATTATTGTCTGCTGTAGTTTCGGGTTGAAAATCAACAAAATTGGTTTAGTATAATGAAAATAATCCATGGCTAATATGATGTACACTGTAAGAAACGCTTCATTGGTTTCGATTAAATAATATTTCGTATTATACACGAAGATTTCGTAAATATTACGAAAAAAAAAATATTTATAAAATTTATTATAGAATTGCAGTTTATATCTAAATCGGATATGGTTTAAAAAAATAATACAATGATTAAGTAGTTGCTGTTGCTGTCAGTGGAGGTCTTTATGTGGGCTCGAGTATGGGAATGATTTCCGTAGAAGTTCCTGACGAGACAGACGGACAGACAGAATCGACTGCGCTATATACTTTATATGGTCCGTTAATTATATTACGGACCTTCAAATGGAATGGCAAACTTATGTGTACCCTTCTCACAAAAGTGAAGGGTATAATACAACTGTAATGTAATAATTTATTCTAGTTATTTACCGTTCAATTCAATATAAATCGTCTGATTCTTTGAAAGCAGCTTTATGTGGAAAACACCTTTGGCATTGAACTAAGAGATGTAGATTACCCAGCAAAAACGTACATTGAAATATAATGAATTCTAAAGTTATTTAAAATAGTTTT